GTAAATTATCTACCACCGATGATCCAACTTTATACCAGGGAATTAATTATATTGTATACGGTAAATTATCTACCACCGATGATCCAACTTTATACCAGGGAGTTGATTATGTTGTGTACGGTAAATTATCTACGACCGATGATCCAACTTTATACCAGGGAATTCATTATATTGTAAACGGTAAATTATCTACCACCGATGATCCAACTTTATACCAGGGAATTAATTGTATTATATACGGTAAATTATCTTCTACTGATGTCCAACTTTATACCAGGGAATTAATTATATTATATACGGTAAATTATCTACCACCGATGATCCAACTTTATACCAGGGAATTAATTATATTATATACGGTAAATTATCTACCACCGATGATCCAACTTTATACCAGGGAATTAATTATATTATATACGGTAAATTATCTACCACCGATGATCCAACTTTATACCAGGGAATTAATTATATTATATACGGTAAATTATCTACCACCGATGATCCAACTTTATACCAGGGAATTAATTATATTATATACAGTAAATTATCTTCTACTGATGATCAAAATTTATGCCAGGGAATTTATTATGATGTGATGTGTACGGTAAATTACATTCCACGGATGATCCAACTTTAATTCAAACATAGCACTTTATCAAATTCTTTTAGAGGTGTTATGATATTTTGTAAAGCATTAGTGAAACAGTGTTTGTATTACATTCCTTCACACATTTCTAATATTTAGGTCTAACTGCTCGACTAATGCAGAGTTTTCACATATGTTTAATTCAACACGCAGCCATCGATGAAAGTTAAAACTGTTTTGTTTTGCACGTTTTCATCATTAGCTTTGCAAACTGATCTGATAATTGGTAATAACGTATTTTGATAGTGTATACAGGATATTACTATGCAGTACAAGTTGAGTCGAACACTTACACAAATGACGGAGGTACTGGGCTGTCACTGTGCACCGGCATTTAAACAACCAACAGGCATAAACGTTCAACAAATAAATTCCTCACACACCGTAATCAAGTTTCCTACAGACTAACAGCTTAATGGGTAAGAAATATGTTCGTAATTCTAAAAAGATCAATTGCAATGCACTACAGATGGTGTATTTTGGACACAATGTTAAGAAAGAATGCATTTTATTTTAACTCGTTCCGAAGAAAGAATGCCGTTTTTCTAAGCATCCCGTGAGAACGATTGCATTAAGAGCCACTAAAATATCACACGGAGGTTTGTATTCGTACCTAACATCCGTGAATCCTTTAACGTACCTTTTAGTTCTGTTGACAGCTTTTGCATGTTTTTCTCGAGTTCCAGAATAAGCTCCGATGTTTTATTTATCTGCCATTTAAAGGTCTAATGGGTTTAAGTGTGGATTGTTTTACCTTATCTGCATATAATCGGCCATTACATCCTGGTCATTGAAGGAGTTTGACCAATCAGTAACACCGATACAAGTATTGTCTTCCAAAGAACATTGTATGTACAGATTGCGATCAGATTCACAGACGTATAAGAACACCATTGCCCAGGCATCGTTTCACTCACAAAGATGTTCTACGAAAAAGCATAAACCTATATATTTAAATACATTTGTACATCTTTATCGGAAAACTGAGATTTTGAGATTAGATGATTCACAGTAAACCAATGGAAGAAATCTATAAAATGGCCGGGAAACAGTAGGAAATGTCTCCTGCTGCCAAAACAACAAAACGCCCTACTGCAAGCCATTGACTTTAGGATCACAGATACCCGGTCAACGGGATCATAAAAATCCTGGTGAACAACCTATTGTTATGTAAGATTAACCACTGTCACATTTTACCTGCAATTATTGCTGATGTTTACCTGAAATAATCTCGAAACATCGTAACTGCCGATGTTTACATGAAACATGGAAACTGTTGATGTTTATAATCTCTGAAACATCTGACTGTTGATCTTTATCTCAGGTAACCTCTGAATCGTAAGATAGACACTTACTACAGATAATCTCTGAATCGTAAGATAAACACTCACCTGAGATAATCTCTTGATCATCAGTTAGACACTTACATGAGAGTGTCTCTGTGACATAAGGCAGACACTTACCTGAGATAATGTCTGAATCATAAGGTAGACACTTACCTGAGATAATCTCTGCAACATAAGGTAGACACTTACCTGAGATAATCTCTGCGACATAAGGTAGACACTTACCTGAGATAATCTCTGCGACATAAGAGAAGGTTCGCCTTTGTGAAGAGAGTGGATCCCACCTCGCCCAGTCGACAGTCACAACAAGAACATTTCAGGCAGTCCTCGTGCCAGAACTGTTCGAGAGCCTTCAGCATGAAGCGATCTCCAATCTCCTTCTTACAGCCTGCACACTCTTGCTTCGCCGCCATATTGGCAGGCTCCTGAGAAATCTGCATCGGTCCTGTAACAACAACAAGGTGAGAATGCGATAAGTACGCAGATCATCATCAAGTATAAGGACAGGTGACTTCTGTATTACTTACCGAACTCTCAAAAAACAAACATATCCGATAATACTTCCGCCAGAAACGTGACATACTATGCTCTGCAACAGGAACTGTGTCTAATTTTTGTTCAAATAATCTGCAGATCCTGGAAACAATTGGCTGTAAAGCTAATCCAACCAGGCAGCAATATACGATGCCTACAGGTAAATTACCCGTACGTAATCACCAGGTAGGATGGGTATAAGGTGAAATATCATTGTAATCCAGCATTGTTGATCAACTGATAGTGGAAACCAGGAAGCAATGCCACATTAGTCATTGGAAACTATTAAATTAGTACACTACAAAGCGTATAGGATACAGATGCTGGGGAATTATCTTTTATTCTTGATGTTCAAAACAAAATAATGCGTTTTAGAGGGCACGTTATTCTAATTCTTTATCTTATGTAGATTTGTAGTTATTAACTCATTCACCCCTGAAATTTCATAATGAACTATTCCAACCTTTGAATTGGAAGAGGTCAAATATGTCTTCAGGGGTGAAGGAATTAACGTGGCTTTTGTAAATATAGAAGTGGGGACCATATTTTTGTGATTTCCATCTCGATTCTGATTTTCCGTAAGGTAATCGTACATCAGCTGTGGATTGCTGTGTTGATTAGCTTTTCTGTGACTGCACTTAGAAGTGTCAAGACCTTAACACATGTACAGTATAGTTCAAACTTTTACACAACAAAATTCTCACTGTGACAGCAGATTATGAGTTTGACAGTTACCCAGGACGAAAATATTCCCACTAACAGTTTCCCTCAGGTGCGATTGACAAGTTCCAAGAAATCTGAATTCTAAGACTTTAATGATAGTTACAGCAAACACATAGAACTGGTATCACAAAGGTTTTGAAGTTGATTATGGCAAATGCCATGCCGGGGAATTGTACACATAGATGGGGAAAATTTGAAATATATATATAAAAAATAATAATAGAATNCAGCAGATTATGAGTTTGACAGTTACCCAGGACATAAATATTCTCACTAACAGTTTCCGTCAGGTGCGATTGACAGGTTCCAAGAAATCTGAATTCTAAGACTTTAATGATTAAGTTACAGCAAACACATATAGACGTAACAATCAATACCTGCTCACAAGAGAAGATAACTCTGCAATACGCAAAGACGTAATATTAATAATTTCAAAACGATAAAATATTTGCATTTATCAAGCAAGTTAACCTCTTTGGAAACTGGTCTTTCCTTTTAGAAGCTTGTTCAGTTTAGTATTCAAATGGTAAAAAGTGTACTTTCACCTAAGTGTGATACATTGTAATAAAATTAAGGTTGCTCAGAAACAGATATATTCTGAAACTACAATCCTTTTAATTAATTCTGTAACTGGTAATTCTATAACAGAATTATACTGAAATATTAAAAACACAAAAAATTGTTTGTCAATATTCTTTATTATGAATTTTTTTTTTACATCAGAATAAAATTCAAAAATGGTTGTTTATATTATAATGTCCATTTAACAAAACACATGTTTTTAAGGCAAGGATGCGAACTCTAACACTGCATGAAATAGATACTAAATGTGTAAATTTTTAATGGGGAGATGGGAATTAGGGTCCATCAAAATTGATCAGAGTCTCGTCGCGTTTGGAAACAATAGCGCATTGGACTTGATCCGAATATCACCTAGATCTGAGTTCATGTATCAGCTGACGAGATCAATCATTAATCATTTAATCACCCATACCAGAGGCACAAATAACGATATTGTCCCCCTGTCACCGTCACTCTTGTAAACCTCGCTGTCGGCCATTGCTGGCGGGAGAGTGGTCCGGTATCATTACCGCAGTTATAGAAATTGATCCAATTATATCTCAATGGTTCCCTGTCAGATTAGACTGAAATATTTGGACACAGGTTTCATAGTACACTACACAGTGGGACAAACGTGACAACACTGGTTACATACAAATGTCTATGTCATCTATATAGTGCATGGGTCACAAGTGACAACATTGTAGTTACACATAAATATCTATATCACTTATACAGTGGTTGACAATAATGTTACAAGACCAGTATAATGCAATCTTTGACCAGCAATGTTGAAATGTTTTCAAAAACTAGAAAATGTCTGTAAGACATGAATGTCCCCGCTTTCATTGAATCGGGACGGGACGGACATAGCCAACATTGTGTGCTCCTTCATTTTATGCTTTAACATTCAATATACCTGTGTTTTTATTATGCGTCAATGTTAACTTCCAAATATGTTTTTTTATTAGACGTAGTTATCTTCCTTACATTGTTTTCAAAACTAATATCACATTTCCCTATACTAATTAATCCTAGGATGTGACATTTTGTTCCTTTTGGGACCTGATGCTAGCTCCTTTATATGTGACCAATGTGGGTGTAAGAAAGCTGCCTAGAATATGTGGAATAGCTCATGAATATCCCCAGAAAATGTGATAGGTATTTAGCTGTCGTGGATGTGACTGAGTGTGCCTACAGCTCCTTAATATGTGACAACAGCTACGTTTAAAGAATGTGACAATGTAGCTCCCTAAAATGTGACTGCTGGAACTTAGCTGTCGTGTATGTGACTGAGTGTGCCTACAGATCCTTAAGATGTGACAACAGCTACCTTTAAAGAATGCGACAATGTAGCCCCCTAAAATGTGACCGGTACTTAGCTTTCATGGATGTGACTAGATGTGACTAAATGTGACTACAGCTCCTAAACATGTGACGTTGGCTGCCTAGTATGATAGGACAGTTTAGCTCCCTAGAAAATGACTGACAGCTCGTCAGCTTATATGTGGGTGGTTTGTATCCCATGGCGTGTGAGATATAATGACAGCGATGTTGATCAGCTGTCTATGAAGGAGGGAGGGGGGACATTCCTACAATACAAACTGCACTCCCATTAGCACAACAATGCTCCGCTGTGATACACTAATGTAATATTTCTCACAATATCCGTGTGATAGACTAATGTAATGGTTGTAATCAGCTGATGCTGGAGACACAGGGAGACTAATCTCCACCCCAGATAATTAAGACAGTATCAAACAATTTTCTGCTGGATGGCAGGAACTGATAACCCCCGTGTGCTCATCTCTACAGCATCGGGCAAACTTCTGATCGTCTCTTGTTATAAATTTTAACCATAAAGTCATTTTACAACCATTATATTTTCCCTACTTTTTTCATTAGAAGTAAGGTTAGAAAGATTAGTATCTAGACCATCTGTAGCCCCGGGGAAAATCTCAATTATTACAATATTGAGTCTGCTTTAAATTCAAGATCTCCACGAGATATGTTCAAAAATTAGACATAATACCGAACACAGAAATCTATACAGCGAGAATGAAGATTACAATCTTTAATTAACAGTTGAATTATTCCATTCAATAAGACAAAGTCATAAAAAATTGATGGTAATATCCCGACACTGATGCTGCATGCAGTTGAATATGAAATAAATTTTAACAACTCAAGCAGAATCCCGACGATAGGGATTCATACAGGGTTGGCCGTTTTTACAGTTTCTTTTGAATATTTAGACATTGTACAAAGACATTTTGTGTAAGCTGACACCCCCAAAGTCCCAATATGATTGAAACACAGATTGTAGCCAAAATTTTAAATTGTAAATTTTGCGCTGGTCATTAAACTTTTTTATTATATGACTGCATGGTGCTAATTCTCAGCCCTGATTGGAGGTGCGACGTCATGTGACGAGTCTGTAAATCTGTTACCTTCAGCCTCGGTGAATATCATTCAGACCATGCAGGTCCGTCAAGTCAGTCAGAGATAGACCTCACCTGAAGTCCATAATTGTATAAGATTTCTTCCATTGTGCAACACGCTCTTATGTCAGAAGCGTGGAAAGTGTGGCATTGATTCAACAAGACAGAAAAATATTCACTTTCAAAGCATTCAATTATATAAAAATTCATATTATTTATATTTTAAGTCATAATAAGATTAACTAACAAGGCATTCCAGATATCTGAGTTTTTAACAATGTAGATAAAAGATATCCTCTACTTTCAAGTTTTATCCCATTTCCTTTGAGTTTAATGACATTAAAAGATATTTGTTTCATTGATTAAACCGGAAATTTACAAACAAAGTTCGTAAGATGATTATCACATTTTGATGAAGTTTCAAACATTTTTTTATATATCATACAGATTTTTTTTTACAGAATTGTATACCAAACCTGCACATTTTGTTAACCCTTTCACCACTGTAGACCACAGTGGACTCAACCAGATCAATGCCTGGTAGAGTTTACTGAAGTTACATAGGGGTGAAAGGGCTAACTCTCTATCAATGTGTCTCAGATTCACAGGAAAATGGTAGAAAATCATCTCTCATGAAACAAAGTCTTCAGAATTGGTATATAGTCACATCTTGACTGAGATGCTGGGAATGGCTCTCACAAGAACATGATCGAAATTTAATCAATTAAAAACTGCCAAGATAAGGAATCCAATAATTGTTGGTATCATATTTCGTTTTCCACAGTCTATACTTACCCATAAACACAAAATTAACCAATATAATTATTTTCATTAGCAGAACAAGCTAAGATGCTATATGTATATGATAAATCAATACAGTGTTAACTGGATATTTAACTTAGTGATATGAAGAGTTAATGAGAAATTTCTTACTTAACTCATTCACCCCCGAAAATTCATAATGAACTATTCCAATCTTTGAATTGGAAGAGTTCAAATGTGTCTTCAGGGGTAAATGAGTTAACTTATGAACAAGGCGGTGTACAATACAACAAAAAACCCCGATATCTTGAGGTCCTCTCCGACAGACGCAGATTCTGATTGAAAGGTTTATTCAATTAACATCCAGAATGGACTAATTGAACACAGGTAATACAAAGTAAAAAGAAAATTAATTACGGGGCTG